TAGAGCTTGAATTCGATATATGATTAAATATATCTAGAAAGGTTTGTAGAGGTCGTTAGAAAAGTAGGAAAGCTAGGATCAGAATTCAAACCCCAGAACCCTTCTTTTTGGTACTACTATTAGTAACAGGGTGCACTTTTTGTCTTATAGATCAAGGTAATTCAGCAATTGACAAGGTAATTCATATCTTGGCTAATAAGTGTTAAGTTTTTTTAAAAAAAACTTTTAAACAACAAAACTTATAGTTAATTTTTTTAAATATTTTTTATACATAGGTAACTCAACTAAGTTTTTAAAGGCTACAATATATTAAATATAGAGTATATATAGTATATAGAATATGTGAAGAATATGTACAATTATATCCATGTTTTATAGTTAATATTCTATAGTTAATGTTTGGTTTTTTATATTGTTTATACTCTCCATATAGGGTGGAGTCAATAGAAAAAGAACAAATCATTTTTAGTGATTTTTTTTAATTTTTAAATTAAAATATTTCAACAACTAATTAATTAAATTTGCTCAAAATTTTTTTATTTTAATTTTGAAATTATAAAAAATTAAAATAAAAAAACATTATTAAATTTGATAAGATAATTGCTAAGATATTTAAGCTTAAAGTCAAGAAAACTTTTACTTAGAAAAAATTTGTCCCTTTTCTATTGACTCTACCCATATATAGCCAATTAAAATCTAGTATTCAAGTCATTATACAAGCCTACAGATTAAAATTTAAAAGCTACAATTTGATTGGCTCTTTCTAAATACAAATCTCTTTAAATATATATTTTAGACTAGTCTGTACACATTGTATTTAAAGAGGTTTGACTATATTTTTATTTTTATTTATTTTAATATTTAGCAGTTATGCTAGTATTTTATTAGATTTGGCAAAAATATTTAAACTAACTATATAAAGTATAATTATACTTAACTATATAACTGATAAAAAAACAACCTTCTTAGACTCTAATATTATAAATACTAACTTATTTAGTTATTTTAACAAATATCTATATGTAATTTGCTATAGTAAAATTTATCTTTTACTTGTTCTTTTTACTTAAGACAACAAGTAACTTATTAGATAGTTTTTATAGCCTGTTATGATTATCTTTTTTCTTTATTTAGATCTTAGTAAAAAGGCTAATTATATCTATTTCTACTATATAAAAAGAAAAAAAAAAGTAAATAAAAATAAAAAAAAAGTAAAAAAAAGAAAAAAAAAGCTATGCAATCTAAACAATAAATCTAAATATAAAAGGATAAAGATAAAAAAACAAAAAAAAAAATAAGACCTAATATACAAATAAAAGAAAATGTACTATTATAACTTGTGCAAAACTAAAAAAATATATATTAATTGCAATATTTAATATATCTATATTAAGAGGTGTGGCAACTTAGATAGTAAGTAGTTTAGTTGTTACTCTCTTTAAGTAGCAGAACTAGAGTTTAAATTCCAAAGTATACAATTTTAAATTAATAGCTATATTTGGCAATAATTCTAAATAGTTGAATACTAGGCAGAAGGTGTTTTGTATATATATAAGGATAATCTAGTTAAATATGTAATATGCAGGCAGGAGTATAAATACCTTTGGGTATCTGCAAAATATTATGTAGGACCAAAAATCAAAGCTTATTTAAAAAAACTTGAGTAAAAAGTAGTAAAAACTTTTAATAATGCTATAAAAGAATAACTGGATTTGAAAGCAAAAACTAAGATTAGAAAACTAAATGGAAAAAGATTCTTAAGTAGAGAGATTCACCAACCAAATTGCTAGATAGATATATTAGAAAAAAAAAACATATACTCTGAAAGTATATACCAAGAGAAGAGAGTCTGTTAAATATCTAAAGCCTAAGCAGGCTAACCATTCTAGATTGCTAGTTGAAAGTAGAGGATAGACTGATAAGAAATCTGTAGTAGAAGAAGGTCTGATATTGTAAATACCAGAGTGAAAATAAATCTTGTAAAAGCAGGAAATATATAGGAGTAATACCCAAGTACCAAGTTAGATTATATCATAATAGTTGGAGTACAATATCTCCGAATCTAATTTAAAAATAATACAAGACACAAAATGAATTGAGGTAGTTTTTACTATATCACCAAGGATGCTTATTAGGCTTAGTTTTTATTTAGATATATTATAAAAAATAATAAAAGATAGTAGGTAATTGCCAATCTGGTTAGTCTCCCATTTAGAGATATAGTACAAAGTAGATAACAAATATAACTAAAGAAGATAATACAGAAATAAAGATATTTTTATACTAAACTATAAATATAAATTTATCAGAATTTCTAATAAAGTTCACTGTATTATGGCAGTTTTATAAAGTAATATATATATATATATACTATAAAGCTTTACTTTATTATTATAATTCTTTTTCTAATATATATAACTAATATTAGGCATCTTTAAACCAGAATACTAATTTTTATTCTATGATATAACACTATATTAATAAACAAAACAAATACATAGTTGTATATATACTAAGTTTATTCAAATTAGATAAGTGCAAATAATGCTAATCTTTTAAAAGAATAAACTATTTTGCCAGCTTTTTGCCAAAAATTTTGAAAGTTGTATATAATTATAAACAAAATTTTGAGATATAAGTATTTTTTAAAAAAATTATTTATATATTTTACCTGATCCTGAATTTTAATTGGCAAATTAATTACAGATAATAATCACCTATAGTATAAATTAGAAAGTTTTTTTTAAAAAATTAAAAAACTATTAAAAAACTTTGTATTTTGTATATAGTAGCTTAAAATAGTATATAAAAGTAAATTAATAAAAATCAAGCAAATTTTTTTACAAACTTGTAAAATTAATTTAAAAAAACTTTTATTAAATTTGATTAAGTTAAGTTATTTTTATTAAAGTTTTAAAAAAACTTATTAAAAAATATTTGCATGATTTTTATAACTTAACCCATATATAGTCAACTCTCTCACTTAGAAAATTTTTTAAATAAAAAATCCTGCAATTAAAGAGAACCTGCATTTAGAGAATATAAATTTATTATAGCTTTTAAGAGAATTTAATATGACCTGCACTTAGAGAGAGTCAACTGTATATAGTATACTGTATTAGATTCTACTATATATATATATATAATAGGTTTAATATTAAAATTTAGCTAATACAATAAAATTGTTAAAAACTTAGTGATATTTTGTAGCACTAAGTATTCAAGTATTATTCACTTTGAAATACATACAGTATAGCAGTAGGACCCCGAATAATAGAGGTTATATTGGCTTTAATATAAACTTTATCCACTTTTTATTAGAGCTAATTACCCTTTTTTTCAAACATAACTTACTGTATCTAAAACTTATTCATTTTATTCATTTTGAACATTAAAAGCTCTTTTTAAATATAACCTTTTGGCAAATAACCGCATTTCAAATATACCATTTTTTGTAAAAAAAGTAACTTTTATTCAAAATTTCAATATAACCTCTGTGTATTACTCGGGGTTCTATAGCAGTATAGCACAGCATCTACGTAAACCTGAAAAGTTTGTAAAGTTGCTAATTTAGACTAATAAACGTAACTGTAACGGTAATTAAAAATACTCTACATAAAAAGTTTGTGTTATATTCTAAATTTATACGTATAATAGACTATCGCTATTGGTGAACAGTCCTTAAATAAAAAAAAAATCGAGATCCGGAAAAATAATAATGTGAATTTTCATATTTTACTGCCTCAGTACAAAAAATATCGAATAGAAATGTCAGCATACACCGAGGAAGTTTTAATTTCAAAGCTTAACAAACTTGTTGACACGCAAGAATCTATTTCTTTACTCTCACAGTGTTAGTCTTCAACAGCCAAATAACGAATGTTTGACGACGGCTATTTTGTAACATTTATATTCAACCTTGTCAAGAATGCTTTTTTTATGATAAGCGTTCACGTAGTTTCTCCTGAGAAATGACTCATCTAAGTTTTCTTTGTCTCTATTAGGGTTTATGTATCATCGGCGGCATGTTGCAACTAGTGTGGATATATGGAACCGTGAGCTTCGAAAGGGTAAGTATATTTATACAAATTTAATAACATTTTTTCGACATGTGTCATTATCATTCTTTTTTTATTTTTTATTTTTTAATAGCATCATCTGCACGGAAACTTTCATTTATATACCTTTGTAATGACGTTTGTCAAAATAGCCGACGAAAAGGTTTGGAATTCACCCAGGAATTTAAAAAAGTTCTTCCAGATGCCATTGAACACACATATCGCCATGCTACTGCTGATGTTCAAGGTATTATAAGACGGGTTGTCAACATATGGGATGAACGAGAAATATTTGACAAGGAATTCCTAGACGAATTGCGAAAGCGTTTTACAGGTATAATGATTGATGAATCAACGATTTTCAATATTTATCATCTTCAATGTTATTATTTTTTTTTATTCCATTGGATAGGTCAAAAAAATCTTAAATCAGAGCAGCGATTGATACAATCAGGACATACTGCGCCATCACATCCGTGCCGTCCAGACATTGTAAATGTTATTTTGATATTATAGATAGTTAATTAGTCTAATAAATATCTTACAGGAAACCTTTATATGATCTTATATAGGCAAAGTTAACGGCTTCAATACAATCTATTTCAGAATCTGAATCAACTGTGCACGAATATGGAAATAAAGTTACAAAAATTTGGTCAGAAGTAATGGAAGTAGAAGGTATAAATTCGGAATTTAATAAACATATTACATACATAATATATGAAAATTTCTTAAAAAATTATTTAAATCACAGAAAAACCTAGTCCTTCCATACTTTCACAACAACTTGACCATCTTCTTCGCTTGCTTACTGAACATCAAAATCTTGTCACGAAAAATATTACAAATAGAACACAAATAATTAATCAAATGAAAGAGATAATAGCTCAGGAAGAGATGAGATTAAGAATAGATAACAAAAGCCTATCAGATACTCAATCTAAAATCAATGAAACTAAGGAATGCATAGAACAGTTAAAGTCAATAAGTATTTTTCGGTATGATGCGATCGCTGATAGAAATAAAACTAAACTTAATGGCGAATCTCGATCTGAACCAAACGGTGAAATTCGACAAAAGGATCAGTTGCAACAACAATATGCAAGGAAAGAGAATGAACCTAAATCAAGATCAATAAAAACAATTGAGAAATCGCAACAATTAACGAAGGTAGAAGAGGTGTCTCAAGGAAGCACTTCCTCTTGTTATGATCCTTCGATTCATTTGACTCTGCCGCCATCATCATTTACTTCTGGATCATTATTACCATCAGAGACTCAATTGTTTGGAGATTCGTTTTCTCTTATGAACGACCGGCTGCAAGTTCCTTATCAAACCACTTCCATTTCTTCTTCCATATCGAATTCACCGGCACATTCCAGCAACAGTGATGAGTACAGTGATCCTTTAGTATCCACGGACCATAGGGGATGATACTTGTTCAATGGTTTTAAGTTGTATCAGGCATATTGTAATACTGTGATTAGGCGTCTTTACATATGCGATAGATTATTTATGCAAGTATAGCATTTTTCAGAATTGCTATATTTATTGATGCATTCAAATGATAGTGACCACGACGAACTTCATTTTTTGACCTTTTATAAGCAACCAAAACAACTTCTACAGGCATTTTAATTTCGTCCAAAGGTGCAAGAGTCTTATTTGCGTAAGAAATCTTATTCCGATTTTCTAATTTTACCTTGCTTTCTTTCAATCTTTCCATAATTTTTGTAATTGCATATGATAAAATAGATAAGGATTATTTTTTTCTTTTCGTACGCAAGTTTGTACGTATCGCAAAAATAATGCTAAAATGATGTCCCATCTTTTTTTTTTTTTTTTTTTTTTTTTTTTAAATGACTTGTTCTTTTTTTTAGGTGAAAAAAATTTGGACTTTTTTTTTTTTTTTTTTCTTTTTAATTTTCACTTTTATTTAATTTTTAATTTTTGCAATGACATTGTCTATTGTATACGGTCAAATAAATTGGACTATATTGTGATTTTCTGTCATTATAAATGTCACATTTAAATAGAGTTTAAGTTGTTTTTTTTTTGCGACCTGTATAACGATAACAATACACCTCCAATATTAACTAATTAAAATGCAAATTTTTGCTATTCTTTATCTAATACAATAAAATTTATTTTGATTTTATAAATACGTAGAATAGAGATATTTCATGTTGCGAAATAATTTCACACATCGCACGTGAGGTCATATCGTGCGTTCTGTGCAATGCATGTGACAGAAATTTTTTCATTTATTATTACGGTATTATTAAATTTATCTCGTGTGAGATGTGATGACGTCTCTTATAATTACGAGCGTGATAGTTCGCACTACATCTCTAGCATAGAATTAAAAATAAAATGGATTTACTGCAGTTTTTATTTTATAGATATTTAAACTTTGAATAAAGACTTATCTAATTAAATTTAGCAAAATTTTTTTAATTTTTGATCAAATTTAATCAAATATGTATCAAGTAATCTTTGTTTAAAGGTTTAGTATTTATAAAGTAAAAACTACAAAAAAATTTTTTTAATTTTTAATAAATATTTCTTGACAATTACTTATATAAATCCAATAAATTTTTTATTTTAATTCTATAAATAGCAAAAATACTGTTTTTAATAAATTGCTGGTACTGTTAATGTTTCTAATAGAGTTCTTAAAGAAACCCCAAAGTTAATTCTTATAATAATACTTAGTTATAATAACAATACTAATTTTAACTTTTCTAAATATTGGTTTTAAAATAATATAGCATTATATTTATACAAAAAACTTCTATATAGTGTAGGAAGCTTTAACTTTTTATAAAAAATAGCTTTACAAAAAATACTACTATACTTCTTTTTTAAAATAAATCATAAAACTAATTTACAAGATTTGTTTTTCTTGTTCTTAAAAACAAAACTTATAGTTTAAAGCTAAACTGACAAAGCAGCCTTTTTTTTTTTTTTTTGAAGCAGTCTTGCCTTTGTTACAGAGCAGCTTTTTAAACTTTAGTTATTTTATAAAAAAATAAATATATATATAGTCAACTCTCTCTAAGTGCATGTTTTCTAAGTGCAGGTTCTCTTTATTTATATAAAAATAGCCTGGTCCCAAGTTGGGATTTATAAAATAAGTGCATATTTTATATTCTTTAAATGTAGGTTATTTTTTAAATTATATATGCTCCAATTTTTGGAATCTATAAGTAAAGCTAATTTTTTTTAAAACTTTGAAGCTAAATAACTTTTGTTTTACTAGTTCATTTTAAATGCTTTTACTACTAAAATGTTTATCTTTTTGAGATGAATCTAACAAGCCCAAAATCATAAAAATCCAATTACAGAATCATAAGAAAATGCACTATCAAATAAGATGACTCACTTGATATAGTGGAACAATTGGTTAAACCAATTGTTTTACTATACAGGTGTGTCACCTTATTTGATAGCACATTTTCTTATAGTTCTGTAATTGAATTTTTATAATTTTGGGCTTGTTGGAATTGTCTCAAAGAGATGAACATTTTGGTAGTAAAATTATTTAAACCAGATTAGTAAAACAAAAGTTATTTAGCTTTAAATTTTTTAAAAAAATTAGCTTTACTTATAGATTTCAAAAATCAGAGCATATGATATATATATAAATATTCTCTCTAAATACATTTTTAATATACAGTTACACCCCTCTAAGTGCACACCCCCTAAGTGCAAACCTTCTCTAAATGCATATTATGGCCTAGTCCCAAGCTTGGGACTTAAGAATTTTCTATATTCTGCATGTGTATAAAATTTTAGGGTCCCAAGTATATATATATATTTCTATAAATGTATATATATAACTTTGACAGTGAATAACTTTTGATCCACTAGTCCGTTTTGGATGAGACACCTACTAAAATGTTCGTCTCGGTGAGACGATTCCAACGAGCTCAAAATCGCTAAAATCCAATCACAGCACCCCGAGATCATTAAGGTTTTGTGTTACTTTATTTATATTTTAAAATTGATTTATTTAATT